CCCGAGTGAGACATTAGTGCCCTCTCAGGTATTTCCTGGGCAGGCACATGTCCTCTCACACAGGCACGACCTCTAGATTCTGGGGAATATGTCATTGCTTTCAGAGTTCCTATGGGCATCTCATTCCCCAGCTTTAAAAGTTTTTTGGACAACTTCTTTGTCCTGATTGTATTGCCTCAGTGCATTGTCATTTTGGGTGATGGTTGCTGACATTTTGATCATGTCCTCAGGAAAAAGAAACTCACCCCAAGGCAGCTCTGAGTCTGGCCAAGTGATGACAAGCCTGTGAATGGGGTTTCTATCATGTATACATTTTGTGTAGGGAGTCACAATTAATATAATAATTGGTCACATGGCAGTCTGAGAGCAGGTGTTTTGGAGAGATCCAGACTTGTTAGCATTTCCTGTGGATGCCAGGTGCCTGGTTTTCAAACCATCACAATTGTGAGCAGTGGGTTTTCTCACTGCCAAGCTGGAGACAGAGCCAGAGTACATACACCCAAACAACAAAAAGCCCACTCTATTACCGAGATCAGGCCCTTTAATTTGAAGAAATGCTCCTTGCATTGTTGCAAGCCTTTGTTCAACCTCTAGAGTTTTGACAACGTTAATTTTTAAAAGCTAGGCTTTTTTTTTTTAAAGAGAGAGGGGAGAGAGAGAGAGAGAGAATTTTAATATTTATTTTTTAGTTATTGGCGGACACAACATCTTTGTTTGTATGTGGTGCTGAGGATCGAACCCGGGCCACACGCATGCCAGGCGAGCGCGCTACCGCTTGAGCCACATCCCCAGCCCAACAACGTTAATTTTAAAAGGTTTTTCCAGTGTTCTCTTTACTTCTTTTAAGCAATAGACTTTCAGAGGTCCTTTTTTTGCCATTTTGCAGGGTTCGTTTCCTGTTTGCCTTATGACTGCAATATTTTCTCTCTCTCTTTGGAAAAATCAGTGATATGGTCTTAAAACTTGTGTTTTCCACCAACATCTATCTCTCTGTCGTCCAAGTTGGAATTTTTCAGTATGTGGTTGTTTTGCTCTTTTTCATTTTAAAATCTTTTCTCGGGTATCCTGTAGTCCTTGATACTCATAATTGAGTACCAAGTACTGAAAAGCTTACTAGAAGCTGAGTGTTTGGATGTAGCTTGTTAACTTTGAGATTTTAGTATTTGCTTCTGGTTTAAATTCTAGTTTTGTTTTTTTTCTTTCTTTCTTTTTTGCAGTGCTGGTGCTCAAACCCAGGCCTTGAGCATCTTAAGCAAGTGCTCTACCACTCAGCTATATCCCAATTCAAGAGAATTTTTAAAAATTCATATTTTTTATTATATATTTTTCTAGGAAGAAGTTAAATCTAAGTCTTATAGTAAAAAAAAGACAAAATTGTTTGGATGAAGAATTTACTTATAAAAATTCAAATTCAGAAAAACTAGGGGAAAGTGAATAGTAGTTATTTGTCAAACTAGTAAGAGAGATTCATTGACTCATTTTGAGGGGTGCAAGGGATTGAACCCAGGGCCTCACACATGCTAAGCATGCACTGGCCTCAAGAAATAGATTTTAAATTACATTCCAAAGATTTAAAGTAAAAGAAATATACCTACAAAACACTTAAATAGTGACAAGGCAATAACACCATTGGCCAAAGCCAAAAAGTAGCAGACAGTATCTAAACACACTTTCTGAACTGGAACAGCTGGCTTAATCCTCATCAATAATAGCTACTGGCAATTAACTCCTTCCCAATTCAAATAAGTGATCAATCAAGAGGATAGGAAATTGTTTGCAATGTAGACTATTTATTTTACTCACATCAAATTAATCTACATTTTATCATTCTTATAATGCAATGTCCCCCAATTTTCTTTTTCTATATTCCTGAGGGACACCTACACAAGAATGTAGGTCTAGTTTACAGGTCTAATTGCTCAGTTTACACAGGTGTAATCTTGGTTCTCTGTAGAGCTACTGGGAACCAAATATATACATCCCACTTTACATAATGTTCAAGTGCTACTCCTACTCTTGTGACACATGTTTCAGTGAACACTGTTCATCTACCTCTTCACACTGGAAGAAGCAGTTCCTAAATTTCTCTCCAGTTTCTTTTAGAGGAAAGGTAAGTTCAGGAATACCCTATCTTCCCAGCCAATAGCCTCATTACACTAGTGCCACCATGCTCACCATGTTGTTATGCATGCATTTTTAAAACTATATTCTTTTTAGCTACATAAACACCACGACACACCATGACATTAATCACAAAAGCACGGAACACAATGCACTCCAATTCATTTCCCAGCACTTCCCACCCCACCCACAGCCCACCCCACTCCTCCCCACCCTCCACTCCAGAGATACCTCTTCAATCCATTTAGAGCTTACTTTTTTAAAAATTAGAGTCCTGTGGATACACCCATTGCCAGGACCCACCGTGCCACATTCAAGCATGCACTTCCACTGTCCTTCCCTTTTCCTGTCCTTCCTCCCTTCTCAATCCCCTCATCTGCTCTACTGATCTTTCCTCTATTTTGATGAAATTCCTTCTCCCTTTCTCTCTCTCTCTCTGTTTTTATTTTTACCCCTCCCTTATTTTGGAGAAAATAATAAAAAAAATTCAACCTTTGGAAAAAAAAAAAAAAAGAAATACACCTAATGGCTTCAAAGGGTAATGATTATATCCTCATTATCTTTATTTTACTTTTTTTTTTTTGATGCCGAGGATTGAACCTAGGCACATTTTACCACTGAGTTTTTAAAAATTTGAGATAGGGTCTCACTGAGTTGCTTGGGGTCCTGTTAAGCTGCTGACTTGTCTTAAACTTACAATCCTCCTGCCTCAGCCGCCCAAGTATCTGAGACCATAGGCGTGCTCTGCTGTGCCTGGATTTGAGCTTGTGTGATTCACCCCCTTAGACTTGTGCCTGGTTGCACTTCAGTTCCTGTGCTCAGAGTGGCAGACAAGTGTCAGTATTCTCAAGAAATGTTGTTCCTCTGTCATATTGCCAGGTTACTGCTCTCTTGAGGTGGTGACATTGGTAGGAGACATTTTGGAGGACACTATTGAGTAAAGGGGGGAACTAAAAAAAGAGTGTAGAACTGGAGGGAAGGGCCCTCTTGCCCCAGGAAATTCCGAGTTAAGGTGCAGGTGCCAACCACAGTGCCCTTTTCAGTGATCTCACGCCTGATTTCTGCCACACCTGATTGTGGTTCATGTGGCCACAGTGATTAGATCACACCACTGATAGAGAACCCACACACATGCTATTTATTATTGGGAGTACTCTCCTAGGTATGGAGGAAATACTTGCCCTTTTCTAGTGATTTCAGGGACACCAGGACTAGAGGTATACCTCAGCCTAACTTGAAATCCTGTAGGTGAGCTCATGTCAGAGGGTGTGGCTGTGACAAAATAAAGTCACACCTTAGTTGAGGCATGCCCTAGCAACCTGTATAGTAATAGTATTTATGGGTTTGCCAAGCCATTGGAGATCTTTGTGACTTTAAAAGGGAAGGCAATGGAAACATCTTATGAAATTGATTCTAAGGCATCTTTCTGGATCTTTAGTAAGCACTGGATTTGAATGTGAGTGATACTTTACTCATATCTGGTCCTGGATGGAAACTAGAGTTTTATTTCAGTGTACACTTTGTTAGTGATTGCCTGGAGCAATTTTAGGAAGGATTATAAAGCTATATCTGAGCTTTGATGGAAAGATGACTTGAAAAGATTACGATACCTTCTATGGGAAGAAGGAAAAGCAGTGTATCAGGCTGGTTCATCCCCTTCATTTTAAAAGTTGATCTATAGTTTTGGCTTCCCTGATACTTTGAATTAAAGCTCCAGAGGTTAAGAACCTTATACATTTAGCATTGAGTTAGCTTGGTGCTAGGCACATCATGGATGCTCAGGTGTTGTTGAAGGAATGAACTAAGACCAGAATGTGTGAAATGTCTAAAGTGTTCCAGAGTGAAACAGGGACAGGATTAGGTACCAGCTCTCTAACACCATGATGGGACTCTCCTAAGTGATCATCTTTGGGTACATGGTATAGACACTGAAAGAATACTGCTCCCTTCTCACTCCCCAGGGTGCTTCCATTCTAATTTAAAACAAACATTTACACAGGATGGTGTGTAAGAAAGTACTAAATTAATAATCTGGTCCCAGAAATGAATGTCATAGGTTTGACTGCAAAGTACTTGCTTTGGAATCTCAACCTTTATACTCATTCCAATGTATCTGTGTTTTGCTCGGGAGACACTTTTTTACTTAACATTAACTATGAGTTAATGCTGTGTGCACCCTTTTCTTCTCATTTTTGATGTTACTAGGATGGAATATTTTGACTGATTAAGGAGTTTTGTTTCAATTTAAATGCCAAGGTGAAATGATCCATTAATAGAAAACAAATGTCATGCAGACTTTCTAAGTTGAAAATTGTGCAGTCACGACGTTGGTTTCTAGAGAAATTATTTATAGCATTTTGAATTAAGTATAAGCCACAGAGAAGCCTTTGTAGTGTGATATTAAAGGATTTTTAAAGCTTTATCCAAAGTAACTGGAAGTCTGGGCTTAGAAATAGGAAGAATATGCACTTTTTATCACGAATACATTTTATGTACGGAGTCATGATTAATATAATAATTGGGAATGGGGGCTATGGATTCCACTGTTGGGGCTGGAATCTTCACCCCATTAATTATGTCCCCTTAGTAAGGTGTGTGTGTAGGTGATTTCTTCCTCTATAGAATGGGGTGATGGTAATCTTTCATGAGACTCTTGTAGGATTAAATGTGATTTCTAGGTAGAGCGCTTATACCAGTGCTGGGACCATAGTAGGTGCTCAATTATTATTGTATATTGTTAATATCAAAATAAAGCTATGTTATTAAGTGCATTTGTATCATGGATAATATTATTGGGATGGAACTCAACTTCACCTTAGTGTTTGTTAATTATAGATAGCAATGGTTAATAGTTTGTATACATTTTTGTTTTCATACAGGCTGAATGTCATTTTTACAAAATTTGATGAAGTCCAAAAATCTGGAAACATGATACAATCTGCAAACGGTGAGTGGAAAAAGCAGAATCTGCTTCTGCCTTTTCAGTTTTATGTCAGCTTATGCTATTTCTGAACTAGATAATTTTTAGTAAGGGCTTCTAGGTCTTAAAACTTAACCTTCATTCATCCACTTTTCCAGGCCAGGAACTATGGAGTCATCACTGACTTTGTTTCATAACTCATAATGAATCCATTAGCTAATCCTGTCGGCTTGGCTTTTAAAACATTCTCAATTCTCACCATTGCTGCTGGTGTCTTCCTGGTTCAGGCCATCGTGGTATGTCACCTGGGCACTGTGGCAGCCTCTCAGCCGTATCCTTGCTTCTCTTCTTTGTCCACACTTGAAGTCTGTTTTGCACATAGCAACCAGGGTTATAAATCTGGTGCTGCTAATTTCCTGCCCCACATCCACACCCAGACTACAATTCAGTGGCTCCCCATGGTCTACCTGCCCCTTTGTGATCTGGCACAGACCCCCATTCTGATGTCATTCCTACTGTTCTTTCTGAAAGTTCTCTGCTCCTGCCACATTCACTGACCTACTGGCTAATTTTGAACATTTTGAGCATCTCTTGTTTCAGGGCCTCTGTGCTTTCTGTTTTTTGTTTTTGGTACCAGGAATTGAACCCAAAGATGCTTAACCAGCTCTTTTTTATTTTTTATTTTGAGACAAAGTCTCACCAAGTTGCTTAGGGCCTCACTAAGTTGCTGAGGTTAGTTTTTTACTCATGATCCTCCTGCCTCAGCCTCCAGAGCCGCTGGATTACAGGTGAACGCCACTGTGTCCCGCTTCTCTATGCTTATTTTTCCTTCTTTCTGAAACATTCACTCTGTGGTATCATGTGACCCTCTTCCTCACTTCATCCTGATCACCGCTGTAGCATCCCTTCATTAGAGAGCCACCCAGAACAGTGTGTCTAGTCCTCCAAGGGATCTCTGCCCTTAACCCTGATTGATTCCTTCTAGCACTTATCCCAGTGAATATTTGTTTACTCATGAAGGCAGGAACTTAATTTTATTTCCTTTTTTAAATTCCCACTGAGCATGAGCTTAGTGCCTCAAATATCCCAGTCATGTGGTAGGTATGAAATAAATATTATTGAATAAATGAAATGAGCTACAGCCTATTGTTGACAGCTCCCTTATTCGTTTTAGTATTCTGTGAGCTTGTTTTTGAGATCAAGTCAAATTCCAGAAAAGGAGGAAAAGACAGGAGTGAATTACTGCATGAATGAAAAGTCATCAGAAGGTCAATTGCCCCTAAGAACTTTTAACTGACAATATCATTGCATCATACCTGTTTTAGAATTGTTAAGGGTCGTATATCATAAAATAGCCTTCAGATTTTAAATATCTTGAGTGTGTCAAAAATGATGCATGCTTGGTATGTAAGGAACAGACAGCAGGTAACAAGAGTTCAGGTCTTTTTTTTTTTAATATTTAGTTGTTGATGGACCTTTATTTAATTTATTTATTTATATGTGGTGCTGGGAATCAAACCCAGTGCCTCACACATGCCAGGCATGTGCTGTACCACCGAGCTGTAACCCCAGCCGGAGTTTGGGTCTTTTGACACACTCTGCTGTGTACCCACCATTATTCCATTATTATTCCTAAGGAATTTTACTTTGGATATCATGCTTCTTATAAAATGCTTAAAGTGATTTAAGATTACTTTTATTAGTCCCACTTATTTATTTTTCATGATTATAAAAATATACATCATATTAAAAGAAAAAAATGAATAATATTTATCATAATTTAGCTATTACCATCAAAAATCATTTTTATTTCGTGAAATTTTCTTATTGTTCATTTTCCTATAACTGCATAATTTGTAGATAATTTTATTTATGGCATCATTTTCTCTGTTAGCTTGCAAATTTGTATATGATTTTCGTGTCATATCCTGGGTAAAGCTTAAAACTGAACTCCGGTGTCTGAGTTGTGGGCTGGTGATGAATGGAACTGATGGGTATCCAGAGATAGGGACCCAGGCAGTTAGCTGCCTGACACATGCTTTTTAGTTTTGTGTGAACTTGTTTAGTTTGTGTGGTTTCTCAGTTTAAAAACCATTGCTACTAAGATAAAATGCTGGGCAAGGAATTAGAAGTAGTAGCAGAAAAGCAAGTTTGTACTTTATAGCCTCTACTATCACTATGAAATTGAATCTCATTATAGTGCCAGCATTTGGGAAAAGAATCAAATCTGTGTTGGGGCCTTGCCTAGAAGATTATATATGTCCACTGTGGATTTCACTGAATGTGAAAAATATGAATTTAAGCATCAGGAATACCAAAGTTGTGTAACACTGGGTGCATCATAGCAACACTGTAATCTAAATGCCTAGGTGTAAATATTTCCCCCACATTTCCTTATTTTGTGTGTGAGTATATGTGTGTCCGCTATTTTTGTCTGCAGGTATATATGGGCTTAGGGTAGGATTGAATGTGAAAATAGTTCTTTTAGGCATCTGTGTTTAAAAAATAGCAAATGGTAAAGAAGACAATCTAAAAATTCTTGGGGTTCTATACTTTTAGCTAATGTAGTATTAATATTTAAATGGTTAGAGCCAAATATGGTTATTTCAAGGAAAGAAGTAATGTAAATGCATATGTATAAAGGTAGTTTTTATCTATTATTTTTCTGAGTTTTTGTATAATTTCCAGTCCAAATGATGTTATACTCCCAAATGGTGATACTACTCTATAGAACTTTGAGAGCTCAGTAAGATGTTCATTAACTGTCAGATAACAAACTACCTAATTTTCTTCTTTGCAAAGATCACTGAACATTTGGGTGGTATGAAGAAATTGTAGCAGCAATGGAAAAATCTGTCCCTCTGTCCTGCTTCTACTCCTCCTCCTCCTTTTTAAAAAATTTTGCTCAACAATTCTCATTCTTTAAAAAAATGAAATTTTTTTAAAACTTTCTAGACTTCAGACCATTGACTGTTCTACTTTCTCAAAGCCCATTCACTCTGCTTTCTTCAGTTAGTAAAGAGCTGAAAGTATAGACCTGCATGAAATTTTAAGCTAAACAAGCTTAGATTGCAGTTTTTCAGAACTTAGTGATTTTGTAACTTCTTGGAATGTTCTATATAATTATCATATCATTTGCATATGAGAACAGTTTTCTCTCATATCTGTAAGCCTTCTTACCTTATTGCATTACTATAGCTTCCTGCACTGTATAGAGTAAGACTGGACAGCCTTGCTGGTTTCCCATCTTGGGTCTTTCACCATTGATGGGATGTTAGCTGTGGGGTTTTTGGTGTTCCTTATCAGCATGAGGTAGTTTTCATCTATTATTTTTCTGAGTTTTTGTCACAGATAGGTATTGGACTTTTTTTTTTTTTTTTACGTCATCAGAATATTTTAGAAATTGTGAATACACATATAATTCACCTCCTAAAATTTCACTTTTTTAAAGTACGGGATTTAGAGCTGGGGTTTTTTTTTTTTTTTTTAATGCCAAAAAAAATGTTCATGCATCACCATCATTTAATTCTAGAATATTTCATCACTCCCAGGAAAACCTGTGTCCATTAGTACGAACTTACTATTCCCTTCTGCCTAATTTCTGTCTTTATGGTTTTGCCATTTGGGACATTTTATACAAATGGAGTCATACAATATGTGACTTTTCGGTCTGGCTTCTTTAACTTTAGCATGCTATTTTCAACGTTCATCTATATGGTAGCATGTATCAGTACTTCTTCCTTTTTGATGGTTGAACAGTATTCCACTGTATGGATAAATTGCATTTTCTTTATCTGTTGATGGACTTTTGAGTTGTTTCCACTTTTGGTTTATTGTTACAAATGCTGCTGAAAACGTTCATGTGAAAGATTTTGTTTTGGATATACATTTTCATTTCTGTATACCAGAGTGGAATTGCTGGGTTACATGTTTAACTTTTTGAGTGACTTGCACTATTTTCCAAAGTAGCTGCACTATTTTACATTCTTAACCAGCAGCGTAAGAGAGTTCCAGTTTCTACACATAATTGTCCACAGTTGTTATTGTCTTTCTTTTCTACTTTAATTTTTCTATTTCTACTTTAGTCATCATCATCATGGTGGTGTCTCATGATTCTGATTTGTATGTCTCTAATAAGTAATGATATCTTTTTCATGTTCTTATTGACCATTTATATACTTTCTTTGGAGAAATATCTATTCAGATAGATCTCTTGCCAGCCCATCATTTCTGATGGATAGCTCCATTTCTAATGGAGCTGTCTATTATTGAGTTTTAAGAGTTCTTTATACATACTGGTGGTATCCAGCATAATGTTTTATCTAGTATAATCTTATTAAGATATAATTTGTAAATACCTTTTCCTATTCCATGGGATTTTTTTCTCCTTCACTATATTGGTGCTGTCATTTGAAATACAAAGCTTTTAATTTTGATGAGTTCCAACTTTTTCGTTTGTTTTTCTTTTGTTGTGTGTACGTTAGGTGTTATGCCCAAGAAATGCTTGTTTATAGCTTTCCTTTTTTCTTTCTTTCTTCTTCTTTTGGTCTGTGTCATCTTGATCTCCTTCAAAGCTCGATCCCAGTCCTTTTCCATTCTTCGGCAATACCTTCTTTCTACTTATACTTTCTGTGGCTATAGTTTTATTTACTAACCGTATCACATTCTTTTCATAAATGTTTATCTCCCTTCCAGTTCTTGCCTCAGGGTTGCATGTAACTGGATATGAAGCAGCTGTCTGCCTGACATTTCTTCTTGTATTTGAGACATGTATCTAAAGCCATATTTATATTCCACTTCTAACTGAAAGAAAATGGAAAACAATAAATAACACTGCATCCTGAATCTTTTCTGTAATTCCTTTATACATGATTTTTCTATTATCCATCTAGGCATGTCAATTAAAGCTTAGGTATCATCTCTGATCTTCTGTACCTCTCTTGTGTATATTATTATTGATCCCTATGGATTGTCACTTAAGTGTTTCTTGAACCCACCCACTTCTCCCCATCTCCTGGATGCTGGTC